CAAAAAATTAGTTTTTTTCTTTGGGAAGCCGCCATTTTCTCAAAAATCAAAATTTTTACCTCTCTTTCGATCATTACCTGTATTCATCTATCATCATAGTAAATTTTATTGGTTTTTGGTTTCAGATAATTGGACGCCAAAATATCTTACTTACCGCCAGACACCTTCTTCCGGAGGTTCTTCTAAATTTTTAAAAATAATCGCTGATTCTAAAAGTACATTAAATTCTCTTTATGTTAATTTTTTTTAAGTCTAATAAAATGTCGCTTCAAAAACAATTCACAAAAATACGCATTTTTTCGGTCTTGTAAGTGGGTGTAACCCTTTAATAGACATGTGTACATATTTACATGCACTCAGTTTTGAGCAATTGCAAGCAAACAATTGCACACTTACTTACTAACACACATCAGTTGTCAACATGAATTCAACTATTCTTACATTATTATGAGCTGACCATTATACTATTTACACGTGTATGTACAATTCTACTTTGTGTGACAATTACAACAATGCCGGTTGTTATTTCTAAAATAGTCGTTTGAAATATAAAGACTACTTAACAGTTACGTATTGTTCGAGAAGTCGCATTGAATCACATTTGAATTATGTGCTTTGGTGTTGTTGTTAGGTTTTACTTTCATTTTACATATTCAATAAATTTTTCAGCACCGAACAATATTGAGTTCAAATAGGGATTGAAATTTCGAAAGTTATCGCTTAATAAAAATAATCGAAAATTATCGATTAATAAAAAATAATCGAAAGTTATCGCTTGTAAAAAAGGTAAAATATCGATTTATGAAAATAGTCCAAAATTGTCGCTTGTAAAAATAAACCAAATAGGGCTTGAAATTTCGAAAGTTATCGACTAATTAAAATAATCGAAAATTATCGATTTTAAAATAAAATAAATTGGGCTCGAAATATCAAAAATCATCGATTATTAACATTTTGATATATAACGAAAACATTATGAATCAAGTTGTACAAATGATTCCTTATGGCCCGAAAGCATACCAAGGAGAGAAGCGCAGTGGAGTAATGGGAGAGAAACTAAGAGGAGAGTATGAGAGTTAGTTATTTTTGAATTTGATATGTACCATAGTTTTTTGTGATTTTCATTTGAAACAACACAATTAAAGATTAAAAAACTTCATTAAGTTTAGTAGTTTTCGAATGTTTGATAATCTAGCTAAAATCGAGTCAGATTTAATAATTTTTCAGATGTCATGCTGAACTGAGCATACCTTATTTCAATATTTTCCGTGCTCATAAAACAAATATAAAGAATGTGGGCACAGTATAGTTCTTATTTTTATAACAATAAGTAAACAGATTTTGCACATTTTCAGATCGGTTCAGTTCAGCTCTTAATTCACTACTGAATTCATTTCTTTATTAAAATGAATTCCCTTTGGCATCAAACATCCATACTTTGCCATTCATTGGAAAACTGAAAACTGAAAGCTGAATATTCGAGAGGACCAGTCCAAAACCTAAATAAATGAAAAGCCTCCTGTTTGAAGCCTCTTTTGTTCACTGTGTGGTACAATCACTTGTGTGCATTTGAATTTATGCAAATTTCTGCCAAATCGTAAACTAAATTATAAATAAATTTCTAATTAACTACCTGTCAACATGTGCTGAATAATTCAAATTTTTTTTTATCTTCGCATTCATTAACATCATGAACGAAAAAAACGACGTTGTCATTCATTATGAAAAAATTTACTAAACCTATATCAACCTTTCATTGACTACACTGTTCTAATGATGAAACGAAATGAAAACGTGAAATTAACATAATTTAACTGCAAACACGTGATAATTAAAGATTTCATTATCATTTATAATAAACAAATTTTGTTATTTGATTTTATGTAAACTGTTGATAAAATGTCTCGACTTAACACGATAAAACCTAAATTAATATTATGAGAGAAATAAAGATCTGATTATTTACATTACATTTATTAATTACTAAAAAAATAATTACTAAATAAATAAACACAAGTGATGAAAGTTAAATGAAACTTTATTTTGGCAAGTATTTAAATAACTTATTTAAAAGTATTATTTACAGTTACAGCTTTTAATAATAATGTATAATTAGTCGACTCTGTAACCCATAAAGACAACACGATGAGAGAACGAGTTAAGACGAGCCCTTTCAGTCAACTTATTTTGCACCATAATTACTCTGAACGAATTAACATATGTTTTTGGGTTAGAGTGTAATTTAAAACTTTCCATTTTTGCGTTGCATAATGAGTTTACTGTATGCGCTGACGCCAATAACTTTGTACTCGCGAGGTATTCAATTACAGAAATGTAAAAGACGTCATTTAGAGACGTGTGTATTTTAGCCGGTGGGAGTATAATCTGCATAACTGTTAGTTTAATTCAATTCAAGACAAACACTGACGTCTTAACAGCGCAGCTTAAGAATAAAGCGCATTTTATGTATTATATAATCAGATCAGATCAGTTATGTGATGTGAAGAGAGAAAACGGCGGCAATCGAGTTAAAATTTTTTTTTTTGATTTAATCCAAAATTTTATAAAATGAATCACCGATTATTAAAGTATATTAAATTCTGCAATTGTACATTTATTTATTTATTTATTAAATAACATGCTTGCTCACAAAAAATATTCATAAAAATTGCGTTTTTCTGACTTGCAAGTGGATAAAGCTTTTTAAGAGAGTCCATAGTTGGAAATAAGGCAAGTAATTTGTTTACTTCTGTGTATCCTAATGGCTGCTACGCTAAATAGTAATTGATAAGATAGCTGACAAATTACATGAATGATAGTTGACAACAAATGAGAGTACGTAAACCGATGCGTTTTTCAAAATAAGTATGCTTCGTACTACATAAGGTGATTAGAGATTACAAAAGTGATGCTTCTTAACGGAGGGGCCGAAAAAGTCATCGTTCAGGCGCCTTATTGGTAAGATTTGGCTATCAGGAATTTCTTGTGTTCTCGAAACTCAAATAACTCGTCCGTAGATCGGGTTATAAGACTTGGTATCTGGATTGAGGAACAAAAAACCTTTTCGACAGAAGGATGAAAAATCGAACAATCGAACTTTTAAATTATATAATATATTCATCAACATTAATCCTATTTGTAAATATGGCCTTAATATGGTTTAATAATTTCTTTACTATTTATCCTTGTTCGACACACCTCACATAGACTATAATAGAATTCATTCCAAATCTATCAAATTAACAGCTCGTTCACACCTTTTTCTATAATGTGCGGCAATTATGCAAATTCCGAATAAAAAAATTGACGGAGTAAAGGTATATGATAGTCGTGCGTGTCTAACACGTTTTACCACTTTTCCGCATTTGCTGTTGGCTCGATCAATAACAATGATTCAATATCTGTATTTCAAGTGGCGCAGACAGCATGGTTTCTATTTCAAATGGTTGAAGATGAGCATCGAGTTGAGAGTCGGTAAATTAATGCGATGGCAGAACAGCAGGCAAGTGCAATTGCAGTGATGCGATAAGGCAAACACACCTTGGCAGTGCAACAAAACTGGTCTGTTAACATTGATTTACATTAATTATTTAATAATAATTATTTAATAATGGATATGCGATAAGAGAGTTAAGACAGCTTAATTATTACGAACTTAAGGGGGATGTACCGCAATTGGCTTGTGCAAACCAGTTTGCGCAAAACACTTTGTGCAATTTAGTTTGTGCAGTTAAAGTTTGCGCAAGCCAAATAAATAAAATTTGCTTTTAAACGTAAGAGCTGTTTAATAAAATTTGCTTTTAAACGTAAGAGCTGTTTAAAAATAATTTCGTGCTAACACAAACCAGTTTGCGCAAACTCATTACAGTTAAGTTTATACAAAAATTACAACCTGAAACTTTTTTCATCACTCTAAACACACTTAATAATTATAAACAACTACACAAATTGCATGTTTGCTTAAACTTTTCCGTGTCATCTTCTACAAGTGGGAAATTCCATTAAGCATTCATGTAGTACCTACTTTGTAGATGTGTGCTGCATTTTTAGTGCAACAACTGTGTTTATTTGTATGCTAGTTGAGTCTCACAGCTTGAAAAACAGTTTGTAGACTTAAATATTATATGCATATACACTTAGTGCAAGTGCACTAATATCAAGTGTCGGAACAATTTCCGACGTGCATTATGATTTTCAACTGAACTATCGAGTGTTATTGATTCTTCTAAATTTATTTGAGATTAGTCATTCTTTGGATCCATCTCATTACCATATATAACTAGCCATATATCGCATAAATTATTCACCACATCACCTATTGGAATTGCCTTTAATTGACAATCGATGGACAGTTTGAGATGTGCAAATCAATTTTAGACAAACCTCTTGCCATAATACCCATTTTTCTCGCGGTTATACACATTTAATATTGAACTAAAAATTTTAAAACCCTATTAATAAGTTCAGCACTTATATAGCAAGTGAATAATTTTCTCAAAATCGGAAGGTTTCTGATTTTCCTTTGCAATTTACATCGATTTTTCTAGATAATTCAAAATTATTCATTAGAAATACCAAATATTTAAAAAAAAAAAAAAAAAAAGTTGTTAATACCAATTTAGAGAAGATTTTTCAACCGAAAATTCTGCGAATACCAAAAACGGATAATTCGTAAGTGGTTTGCAAATACTGCACGAGCCAAATGCGGCTTTTTTGAACGAAAACATAAATAAAATGATTTTCGAAAAACCATAAAATTAAGTAAAATGGACCATTTCCTGCTTACAGACTCCAAGGTAATGCTTAATGGAAAGAAATCTAGCGACAATTGTACTACAAAAATGATATCGAAAAGTTGAGAGATCCTTATAATCACGTATCAGTTTCAATGACAAAAATCTCTTATAAAATATCGATTTTTGCTAAGGAAATTTTGTTTTCCTTAAACCATACGAACTTGTCAGCTTGCATGGTATATAAAAATATATAGTATCACTTACTTGAATCCTCTACCACGAAGCGTTTGGTATGCATGGCCTTCATATACGGATCCATTTGCTCCTTATTTATGGATATGCTGGAATCCATGTGATGTGTCATTAAAATTTCGAAATCTCAATCGAAAATAATTAAAAAGTAGGTTAACAACTCTTAGTTCGAGCTGAGCGCTTGTATCTTCTCCGTCAGGCGAGAGTTAACGAACTGTAATAAAGAAGCGTATGCAGGTATATTTAGTAGAATTTCAGGCTGCGTGTGTTAGCAATTTGGTGATATTTAAACGAAGAAAGAGTTTCAATATTAAGTCTAAAAAGTTAATTATCAGTTCCAATTTTGCTACAAAAATGTTTATGCACACATTAGTTATGGCAACAATTTTGTTTTTATAAAATTGAGCAATTAATTTTTTCATTGTTATATGTCAAATAAATCAACATAGTGAAATTGTCGAAAGTAATTTGAAACTGATGATGGTAATTTGAGCTCGTATGGAGTTGAATTGACAAAAAAAATGGAAAGTAATCAAATGCTCAGTTTTATTCGAATGAAAGTGTTCCGCTTCTCTGAGCAAGTTTTCGCATGTAAATGATTGGTAGCACTTTTCTTTTGTTAAAATAACATCTATCTATATATCATTGCAAACCTGTAAATTAAATATGCTGACACAAATAACAGTAATAATAAAGGGCTATTAGCCAGAAGGATTAAAAAGTAAATTAAATAAAAATAAATAAATGTTAGAAAATATGTTTAAAGAGTCTAATTAAATTTGCAGTTGTACTGATAATTTATTGAATAATAATCGAAGATTTCCTCCAAAATTATGTGTTTTAATATATAGAAAAGAATATTCAAATTATATTGTAGGGGTATTGGGGAGGGATGGTCCTAGATTGTAAATATGGGCACAGCCCAAGCCAATTTTATACTATCAAGCTTGTATTAAAAATATTGGTTTGAAACAGACTTGCATATATCAAAGTATAACAATACTATAAATTGAAATGTGTCATCTTCTCAGAAATAACTGTAAACTTAGAGCTCGCTAGATGTCGCCAAGTAGAACTGTTATCAAAAATCATATTTGTATTTCAATGTTGTGCTTATTAAAGCTTTGGAATTAAATTTTTAATTTTCTTCGACCAAGCAATGAACTGAGTTTCAAATGGCATACTTTCTGAACCACATACATACATTTGTATATATGTATAACAGACCACTTTCGTCGGTTTTAAATAAAAAGACGGAATGTTTTAATTAACTGCAGTAATTCATTAAGGAATATTATATGACAACGAAAAGGGAATTAAAGCCAAAGCAATAAATTTCTAGCCGTGTGACATACCTACATATACATATGTAGAGAGCGCGGAAATATATTTTCATAAATCTCTGTTATCTGCAATATAATTTAGCATGTCTAAGTGACGTGACATTTCTGAGTTATTTTATTATGAGAAACTAACTGTGCTATTCGATTCCGCTTCTTCTTCGCATTTAGAGTGCTTGGACAACTCCACAGTAATCATAAATGAAGAAATAATCACAACTTTTTGATAAAGCAATACAGATTAGCTGGCATACTGTGCTATTTTTATTTACATTCTATGATAAAATATTGTTGACCAATAATATGAAAGATAACAAATTAAATGGAACTAGATTTGTAAATATCATTACTCATAGCTTCGAGGTCACAAATCAATAGAGACCCTGAGTGTTGTAGATGAGTATAATGTTAATTATAAGGTACAAGAAAGAGGTATTTTCAATATTAAATGACCCGATTTACTGGAAAAGAAGCGAAATATACGAAGTTAGTTTCGGTTTCCACAGAAAATATCTCATAAGAATCGGTTGAAATATTTAATTTTTAGAAAAATATAAGCTATATTATTAAACTCTTTTTGTTTCAAACAACAATTTATTAATTACTCTTATCACAAATACGACGGAAATCCAAGCATCTTCCAAGAATTTTAAAAATGTTTAAACTTAGTTCTCCCTTAACACAAATTCGAAAGGAGAGCTTTAAATTGACAAAAATTACATTTTGCTATCGAAATTTATAATTCGCAGCCAGACAGAAAAACGTCAAAAATAAAACAAACAAATATTATGAAATATATGTAAATAAGTCGGTTATGGAGAAAAGCTGTATTTACATATTTATGAATTCAAAACTAGCTTATTTTTGATGAAATATAAGTCTACAGTGTCTTGTAATTAAATAATGAATATATTTTTTCTTTATTTAATTTTAAAAATATGTATTTTCTTATAAATAAGTATTTATATTCTTTTGAATTTCAATTGAGTTTTAAAGTTTTTGTAACAAAATAGAACTTTAAAATTTTTAGCAATTTCTAATAAATATAATTTCTACAAAAAAAATTTTTTCTTAATATTTTTATTAAAAACTTTTTATAACTGATTATCCTTGAAATATTTTTGCCTTTCTTCTAGCTAATTGTGCTCAACTGTATTTCGCATAAGATTTATATCCTGATCCTGCTAATTTTTTATATTAACAAAAAACTAAGTCGAATTCAAGAAAAATAACTCAAATAAATTAATTAACTTAACCAGGTTCAAATCAAAAAAAAAATTTCAATTTAAATTCAAACAAAGGATAACACACTTTAATTTTCTATTTTCTATTTATTTCAATACAATTTTCATTAAAAAATAATGTTTCATTTATATATTTATTTATTCTGTCTATTTACACCTTTTGTTAACAAAATATATTTAATATGCTCGAATGCATTTCCGATGTAACCGACAAAATATGTCTCACTTATTTTCACTATTTCTAACAATAAAAATTTTAACAGAATTAATTTAATGATGTTAATTTTTCAATTTTTTATTTTATAAATAATTTTGTTTTGAAATAATTTTATGTATTTGTTTATAATTAATTAAAATTTTTCAATTTTCCGACACTTAAAATTTTATTTTATTGGTGCCAAGTGAATATTAATTTGCTTAATTTTTACTCACACTTTTAGTATTAAGTTTTGTTCAGTTTCAATTCACTTTCCGTTTTCATTAAATATATTGTTTTGCCTTGACCAAGTGAATATTTCACTATTTCATATTAACTTAATTTCGAATTATTGCAATGCGTTAGAATATCTTGAAACTGGTAGCTGACAACACAACCGTAACCGTTGACTTACTGTGTTTAACAAATTTGCGCGCCACTTTAAAAGTAGGTAAGCTAACTTTGATCTAAACACAATCAAATTGAAAATTGGTGCACTGCGAGACAAGTCTTTGCGTTTATTTCATTACTCATTAACCAGTTTTCGGTTCGGAACTTTCGCACGGCAATACCCACGAGCGTGCAACGATCTCTAACATTTGCTATATGCGACTGTGTGTGTTTCGTTTCGATTAAGTAAGTCACTTATTTTTCCAATATCCAAAATGCTTTCACTCGTGTGCGCTTCGGAATTCTTATGCAGATCTCATAGTCGCGTTCTCACCGTTCAACCAATTTCTGGTGATGATATCGTACTGCTAACGCGTTCGTTAGAACCGCCGCTTATATTTCGCACAACAACCAGTCAACCATTAGGCCACTACCCCAATTGCAGTAAGCTGGCGCTCGGACTTTGAGTACCAAGCAGCAAATAGTGGCGCATGGTTTGCTCAATGGACAAGTGTTTGCTCTCATGCAAAAAACCTTTGTGTGGGCGTTCGTGTTTGAGTGTGTGTGTCAGCGCTGTTGTTATGTCATTTAAGTCTGCGTTTATCAAAGAATTTCCCTGCGACTCGCGTCAGTCAACGACACATCTTAACGATAGGCGCGCTTCACAAATGTGCACCCCTCGGTTGTTGTGCGTCTCATCCGTAGCTTTCTCATATAGCGCATGTGCAGCGTTTTTACTTAATTTTCACTTTTTGGCGGCAATTCATTCAATCTCTTTAATGATTGAAATTGCGATAACCTGCACAATCAACAGTCGCATCAATCAAGCCATCAATTATTTGCTTTCATTGAATTGGCTCAATAAGTTTGAAAGTTGTGTAATTAAAGACATTCAAGTTGCCAACCTTAATTAGGGGTCACCGGTATACCGGTGAGCTACACAATGTAGGCTTACACTTGTATACCGGTGTTCGCATTAAGTTCTAACAAGAAAAAACTTTAACTTCGGCTGCACCGAAGCTAGAATACCCTTCACAAATGCAAAAAATTCCTTATAAAAAAAACTTTTGGTCGGTCAGTTTGTATGGTTTGTATAACACATAGCTTATAGTGATCTGACCTGAACAATTTCTTCGGAGATTGCATCATTACCCATTACAAATTTCTTTAATTTATCTTGACACAAGCACTTTATTCCGACCGTTCAGTTTGTATGACAGCTACATCTGTAGTGGCTCGATATCGGCGGTTACTTATAAAGATTATATATAAGATAAACTCTTGATCCTATTTAAATAAGAAAGGGGAACTTTTTCAAAGTGATAAGTACATATGATATAAACAAAAAAATCGTTAGTCACTTCCAATTAAATAAGCCTTATACAAAAAAGGAAGATGTTGCGTCATTAATCTCTGCTTTCGGAAATAAATATTTTTTATAATCAAATAAAGTTTTTTTAACTTAATTCTGTTTATGTTTTCCACTAATTTGTTGGAGTTCCAAAACTTTGTATTTTTCCTACCCGAATATAACTTGTGGTTACTTAGCGATTAATAAATAAAATAAATGAAATATAAGGCGTCTTCGATTTGCCGCTCCTCTACTCATCATGTTTGAGCTTTGTTCTCTTGTGGTAAAGTTTAAATATGAAAGCAATAATAAAGTTATCGAATTGAGTTTAATACAGAGAGTAAATGAATACATGAATTAAAGTGGTATAACTGCTAGTTATTGTTACTCTACATAATTATACCAGTTGTATTTGCGATGCATTATTGCTTGGCAAATCGAATAGCTTTAAAGAGGTAAATGTTCGACAATTTTGCTTCACTGGTTGCTTACATATATAAAAATAGTGACTTCATAAATAGCCCGTTCCAAAAAAACTTTATGAATTTAGTATTTCTAATAGCATAAACAAGAAAAGCCGTTAGGTTTGACTACACCGAAACTATAATATCCTTCAAGGGCATAAAAGGATATAAAAAGCTATTTATCTTGATTTTGATCGGTCAGTATAGTATATAGCTGACATTCAAACTA